GGGGGAGTCCCGGTTCCTCCTTTGCTTTCTGCATTCGGATAATAAAAAGCCCCAACAGTGCTCAGAAACGACGCGGAACCGTTGCGTGGACGTCTTTGCATTCAAACAACGGCTCCGCAGGGTTTCCTCAGAATTGCAGCTTCGCGAGATTTGTTGCTGGCTGAGCTTGGTGTTTGTACCGAATTCATCTGGAGCTCCTGCGGCAGGTTTTGCACGCTCGCGCCGGTGACATTCAAGAGCCCTTCCCACTCGAGCGAGGGCAACTCCTGCAAGTATTTCCCGACGCTTCGCCCTCTTCGGCTTGTCGGGTTGGAAGTGAGCAAAGTTTGGGCCCCCTACCTTAACCCCCCTGCTAGTTTCTTGGCCAGATTTGCTCTTGGAGAAGGCAACCAGGATTGCCTTCTGTCCTATCGCATGAACAGCTGCTCTGTAAGAACCCCTCTGGAACCCACCAGTTAAAATCAGATAAATATTTCCCATCAAGGACCCCTAAAATGGGCCAAGAAATGTATTTCCTCTGTACTCCAGAAGATTGGCTAGCCAGTTTGGGGAAGCTAGGCGGATCCTTGTCTGTGTACCTGGGGTGAGTTCTGTCATTAGGCAAGGGGGGCCTTTCAGGAGAGCAGCAGAGCTGGGGAAGTTCCTGGTGAAGGAGGTGGAAGGCTGAGGTCATCAGCTGAAGATTGAGGGTTCTCAGCTGGCTGCTATCTTGCAAGCCCCTTCTTAGGGCTGCCCTTGGGGTGTGCTGTGAATAGGTGGGGAGACTTCTATTCTTTGGTTTAGATGGGCTTGCAGGGGGGCTTTGTCTGGGGCAGGGAGGGTCAGTTTGGGTCTAATGGCATTAGGCAAAGAGAGGAACTGGGTCTGACCTTGGTCATATCCAAAAGGTGGGGGTGGGGTGGGGAGGTGCAGTCTCCATTTTGTTTGTTAGGTTCATTTTCTCCACTACGCTGTCCACCTTTCCTTGGGCTGGTACGATGTTTGCTGCCCCACTACTCTCTGTTTGGCCTCTGTTGCATCTCTTCTGAATCATTGCTGTGAGTATGCCAGTTGCATCTGCAAGGCGACGGGCTTCCTCCTCTGTCACTCACTTTCAGCACATCATCAGCCAGCAGAGACACTCCACCAACTGCTGGCTCCTGCATGACTGAGCCTTTTCCAGGATTTCAGTTTGGTTGGGCTTCCCCTCCTGTGGCGTCTCATTTGGGCTTCTCCCAGGTTCCAATAGTATTCCAATAATAATAGGAAATAAAGAAATTGTTTTAGGAAGATCCCACAACAGAAGTAGCTGCAGGGGGACCCTGAGAAGTAGCTCAGAGAGACCCTGAGACCCTTTCATGACTGTGCAACTAGCTAGATCCTGCAGAACTGGGGAAGTAAACAGCTGACTTCTAGGCAATGGTGTCTTTTACTTCATGGTGAAGTAAGGATGAGGTGAGGACAACACAGTGTTTCAACACCAGGACACAATGGTGCTGCAGGTGGCCACGGAGCCTTTGCCTTGCAGTGCCTCTTCTTGACATTACCCATGAACAACGACAGGGCTGTCATCAAAGGTTGGGGACATTTAGTGGAATCAAACCAAGTTGTGTATTAGCTAAGATGTGTATGTGAAGCCCCTTCTTTAATGGCTTTGTAAGATGCTGTGCTGCATTAGAACCTGGAATTATCACATTGTTAACCTGAATTCTTGATTGATTTAAATAAGCAGCACATGCTTCTATAAAATAATGTTTCTGGATGAATGCTGGCTTGTAAAATGAGTGAATTTAATTCCATGTGAACTTTCTTCAATTTTTGGTTCTAGTATATGATCAGGTTATTGTTATCATTATTGTTTAAACTTCTCAGCAGGTGGTAGATCTTGTCTGGGCTTGGAAACTAAACAGGTTGGGCCTGGTTAGTACTTAGAAGGACACTATCTGGAATTCCTAAGACTGTTTGCTGCCCCATGAAAAAAGAAGAATCCCACATACAAAGCCATTAAAGAAGGGGCTTCACATACACATCTTAGCTAATACACAACTTGGTTTGATTCCACTAAATGTCCCCAACCTTTGATGA